TGTGAAGTCTAAAAGGCTCTGCAGCGCTCGGGTGTGTAAGTGAAGTGAGTTGAGATCTGCAGTCTGCTAGATTCATCCGTGTGTGTGTGTGCTGCCCTAGATTATTATTTTATCATGAGTGCTGCTGGTAAAATGGAGGGATGTTGTGTTCCAAAGGATCTCCCTTTGGATACTGTACAGAAGGGAGGAAAAATGAAATTCGTGTTCATTTTCATCTCTTTGTCCTCATCTGCATTTTTCCCCCTTTGTCTTGCTTTTGTTTTATCTCTCATTTCAGATCACAAGCGAGTCTCTCATGATCGTTTTGTCCACATTTTCAGGGATAAATCCCGATCCAGGCTGGTGGATAACGGTCCTTCTGCTTTCTCTGTGTGTGTCGGAGTATAAAGATCTCTGAAGCTCAGAGGAATTCCGGTCCAGGAATTCTGAACCCAGAAAATAATGAGGAGATTTCAGTGTGACGGGCTTATATGTGAGAGTCCTGTAGTGCGGGATGATTTTAGAGATAATTAATTCCGTTTCATTGTGGAGTAGAATATTATGAAATGGATTCATCTGATTCGTGAGGATCTGATCTTTGCACACTTGAGACTCGGTGCAATTGATGTTATAATGCAGTTACATTCATACCATTTTATACCTACAATTAGTGATTTTCTCTGCTTCTATGTGTGTGTTTAGGTGCATTTATATTGCTTTTGGCGTAGTGAAGTCAGATCTCCCTGTGTATGTTACTCACATGTGTTGGGGGATCCGTTGGGTGTTGGTAAATAGGATCCTGATTTCCAGGTCTTGGCTTTGAATCCTTTTTTGCAGCGCTGACAGTCCTGTCCGGTCGTGTTGTGTTCACATTGACACTGTAAGTTGCCGTCCACATACAAACACAGAGATGCGTGGAGATTACATCTACACCTGAAAGACAGAACGATGGGCAGACATTAGACTTTTAGCAGTACTGTAATACAGATCTGCCAATACAGTGAATCTGAATGATTTGATGTGCTTTTGAAAGTGAATTTGAACTTGAATATTAATATTAATGTCAGTGTTATTTTAGTGTCGTTTAGTATTGATTAATATGTAGAATTTGCATTTATTTGTATATGTTCAGTTTAATTTTAGTTTTGTTTAATTTCTTAGTAATTTTGTTATGTGCTTTTGTAACATTTTTTTCTTCAAATTTAGAAATGTTAGTCCTCCAACTTATTTTATTTCAGTTAGTTGCTAAAGCAACATTTCTCATTTTTGTTTTAATTAATTTTTTTTAAGTTTTAGTAATTTTATGTGTATTTTTTTAGATTTCATAGATTTTAATTTACTTTTATTTTAAATTTAGTCATTTTTGTACTTCAATTTTAATCTTATTTGATCAATCTTATTTTATTTTGGTTTTATTTGAACTTTATTTCAATTAAGTAAATTTTTTTATATTGTAGTTTTAGTTTTATTTAATAATAAAACACTGGTCAATGTTAAAATGAAATTAAATGTGAACATAAATGCTAATTTTTATATTAATGTGCATGGGAATTTAAATGTGAATTTGATTCTAAATGACTTATTTTCCAAAACAGGTTTTTAATGATTTAATGTGAAAAGTCATTAAGAAATGAATGAATACGGTATGAAGACCAGTAGAAGCATTTCAAACCTCCTGTATAAGCTGCACTCAAGCAGGGCCGATGTTTTCAGAGATATTAATTATAGGTATGTGTGTGTGTTGGCAGGTGGAAATGCATCAATGAACGCAGGTGTGCTGCTGTAGATTGGGCCCAGTAAAGCAGAAATGAGCGTTTGTGTAAGACCAAATGGCCCTGATCCTAAATGAGACTTTTCCACCTGAGCAGCACAGTGTGTGTGTGTTACTGTCGAGCTTCAATCCAGTTTGTTCCGCTGGAGTGAACATGGATCCATCAGCATCAAATATTCACAACATCGTCCTGTACCTTGAGCCAACCCTCATATATCTCTCTCACACACTCTTTTTTTCTCGCTTTTTCTTTTCCACTGCCTGTGAACATTTCGCCCCTCTTTCTCCTTCCCTCCATCTCCTTTAACCTCGTTCTCTGACACCATCGCTCTTCCAAGATGTGGTTTAGTGTGTACTAAAGTGGTCCAGCTTGAGCTGTCTGGCAGGCTGGAGTGTGATGTGGTGTATGATTTATCATTTACCTTGTGTGTCAATGTGCATTATAATAAATCTCCCATTTAAAAGCTCTAATTTACAGTCTAATGCGGGGGTAGGCAATGTCGGTCCTGGAGTTCTGATGTCCTGCAGAGTTTAGCTCCACCCCTCACCTGCCTGCAGCCTTAGTGATCCTGAAGACATTGATTAGCTTGTTCTGGTGTGTTTGATTAGGGTTGCAGTTAAACTCTGCAGGACAGTGGCCCTCCAGGACCGACGTTGCCTATCCCTGGTCTAATGCAATACATTTGAACCTTTTAAAAACCTTTTTTATTCTCTAGTTGTTTAGAAAAACATCAATGATCTATAGAAATGTATTTCTTCCAGCAAATAAATTTTTTTTAAAGGTAATTGCAGCTTTTTTGATTATTAACTCATTAATCAAACTTGTAATTGTGAGAAAAAATCTCAACCACAGAATAAAAAATAAATAAATACAAAAGGTTTTTAAAAATGCACATGGGAGTTCTAAATTATAAATGTAATTCTGAAAAAATATTCTGAATTGCTAAAATGAAACTCATAATGGAAACTTATTTTTGCAACGGAATAAAAAAATAAAAAAAGGTAATTGTGACTTTTTAGCTCACAATTCTGAGTTATTTTCTCACAATTACACATTTTTATCTCCCAATTTTGACTTTTTTCCTCGCAGTTGTCAAAATTGGGAGATATAAAATCAGAATTGGGAGATATAAACTCTGACTTTTTCTTGCAATTCCAAGTTTATATCTCAATTCTGAAAGTTTATAACTTGCAACTGTGAGATTAAACTCACAATTCTGAGAAAAGTTAGAATTACAAGATAATACCTCACAGTTCTGAGAAGAAAAGTCTTATTGTGAGGTAATTCTGACTTCTTTTTCTCACAGTTTCTTCTCAGTTTATATCTAATATTTCTGACTGTTCTTCTCAGTTTTATATCGCGCAATTCTGAGTTGAATTCTGAATCTTGTGAGAACTGCGAGGAAAAAAGGTCCAAATTGTGAGATATAAACTCAGAATTGTGAGAAAATACGTTAGAATTGTTCCATTGGGAAAATATGCTTCTTTAATGTTGCTTCCATGATGAGTTTAAATCTCGGTTTAAAATTCAGAATTGCAGAATTTTTATTTTTTAAATAAGCTGCCATTATGATCTGGTGCTTTAAAGAACTCCAAAAGAACACCAAAACGCTGATAAATGAATGAATGTGCATATGATATGTAAATGTAGTAGGTCATATGGTAATGTGACTGTGATGTCATGACCATAATGATTTCTGAGTCATTTTTGCAGCTTAGTTTGAACAAATCTTAATGTTAGAGTCAAGCACTTATTTCAGAAGAGCAAGAACAATCGTGTTGTCCATGATATAACCTCTTAAAGTGACTAGAGAGTCAGTCTGAACTAACTAGGAGTTTCCCTAGTTGTCTTCTCTTTGGGATTTTCTGTGTGGTGTGTGTGGGTCTAATGTGAGTTCCCCTGAGCAGAGGTCCTGCTGGGATAAGGGTGCTTCTGTAGTGTCCTGTGAGCAGCTGGGACAGCAGAATTATTCCCACCATCTGCTGCCCCGCACCTCTCACGTATGTCTACAAATGCTGCGCTCACATTCTCCGATTATTTTCATATCAGCTCAGAATGTAAAACACACTCCAGTGCTCTCTTAAAGGGTTAGTTCACCCAAAAATAGCCCACAAATTACTCACCCTCAAGGCATCCTAGACGAATCCAGTCGGAGTTCTATTAAAAATTGTCTTTGATCTTTCAAGCTGTTTAATGCCACTCAGCGGGTGTTGCATGCATCAGTCCAAAAGAAGTTAAATAAAAAGCGCCCATCCATAAAAAGTGTCTCACACGGCTCCGGGGGGTGAACAAAGTCCTCCTGTAGTGAATCGATGCGTTTTTGTAAGAAAAATATACATATTCAAAACTTAATAATCACTTTAATGTAGCTTGAGCCAACTGTCATACACAGAAGAAGCTCCGGGAGCATGACGTATGAGGTCAGCGCTGCGCATTTTTTATTTAACTTCTTTTGGACTGATGCATGCAACACCCGCTGAGTGGCATTAAACAGCTTGAAAGATCAAAGACCATTTTTAATATACAGTAACTCCGACTGGATTCGTCTGAAAGAAGATAGTCATATACACCTAGGACGCCTCGGGGGTGAGTAATTTATGGGCTAATTTTCATTTTTGGGTGAACTAACCCTTTAACGCTGTAAAGCCTACTGCATCATATTTGATATCATATAGAGCAACGACTGATATGTTGCCTACAGTATGTCATTTTATGTAAGCTATACTGTTATAGAGATCTCATTTATTTACATTACAAAAATCAGAATTTCATCTTACTAGTTGGCCATATTAAAATCAGCAACTGCACCAAATTGCATATTTTTTCTCAGTTTGGGTCTCTGAATAGAATGATTAATCTCTGTATTCTCACTATATACAAAGATTTGTTTATATGTCAAAGTCAACATGACGTCAGCATTGACCCTTTTTTATAGCTATTGTCATTGTTTTAGGCTACTTTTGTTGTTAATTAGCCTTTCTACAGTCTTGCCACTAGTTAATGCAGTAATTTAATACAGGTTACTTCAATAACACAAATATAAATGCATATGTTTCCACTGGGATACAGTATGTACAGGTGCTCTGGAGGATGAACTTGACTCTCAGTCTTTATATCCTGCTCACCTTCCTGGTTTTCGGCTCCTGTGAATTTCCATGGTTACTGGATAAGGATTTGTAAAAGTCATTTTAGACTGCACTCACAAATAGCAATTTCTAGCTGACTGAATATTTTATGACAGAGTGTAACTGGATCATTTTAAATTCACTACAGGAATTCTCATGCCTTTTAAATATTTGATTCATTTTCATGATTTTTTTTCAGGCCTGGAAATCACAATGTTAAAATTCCTTGCCATTTTCATGTTTTCCATGACCATGGGAATCCTGTTAAATAATTATGGCCTGATTCCTAGAACAACGCTTTCTTCCTCCCTACAATCGACTGCATTCAGATCTGACTCTATTCTGGTCTGTAATGTTCACTTTTCACAATGCATGCAATTCCTGATGGATAAATTTAAGCCCATGTTACATTTCTCCTCATTAATATAATTATACAATAATAATTGTGATGCTGATTTCCAAAATAAAGGTTCTTAGTTTTCTTAGGTTACTAAAAGATACATTATTCTTTTTACATTTTATGTTTTATTTTTTGGCTGATTAGGGTCCTTGAGTTGCTATATGGTTCATCAGATAATAAATTCATGATGTTTAATTATAGGTTCCGTTTTTGGTTTGGATGCTGGGTTCTTTGATGGTTTTCTAAAAAACTAGAGAATCAAAAGTTCTTTGTAGAATTGAAAAAGGTTCTGATATGACATCACACTATAACAGCCGTTTAGAATCTAATTGGAATCAGAATTGTAACTGGAACTGTCGCTGTCGTTCTGACGGTCTTTCTCTCAGTCTCTCTGTGAGTTATGGATTATGTGAGCCGTTTTATGATGAACAAATCAAACAAACAAAACAAACAGACTCTGCAGATGCCAGGAACGCTCTCATTCTCTGATTTTCTCTGTCTGGTTTCTGTCTCTCCTTTTTCCTCCTCTGTTCATTAGATGATAGAGAGCTGTTTCTCACTCACACACATTTCCTGCAACTTATTCAGAGCGATTAATTCCCTCTGAGAGCAGAGAGAGATGGAAGTGTATATAGA